CTATATTTATTTTACTTTGTAGTATGAGTTTGTCTCGAAAAGTAATATTAGCATCTGCATTTTTTGAGTTTGTATAGAAGACTGATTTTAATGGGTTAACTTGAATATTATGCAAGGTATAGAATGAGTCTGCAGTATCTAATATCTTTGTAAGGTTTTGTTTGTTATGTGCAATCCATACAGAGTCATCCATATATGCTATCACTGATATGTGAATATCTTGTATTTTATTTAGATATCTTGATTTTATTCTGTATCCAGTATACTCTGTATCTATTCGTGAGATTAGTAGGTCATAGAAGATTCTCTAGAGGATAGGAGATATAGTCTCTTGTTGATCAATTCTATATCAAATATTATACTTATTTGAGAGTCTATAGTCTGTAATCACTTGATTTGTATAGTTTGTAAAAAGGAAAGTAATTAGTAAGATAAATTTTTCAGAAAGATGTATACATCTCATTGCTTTTGATAGAGTTGGAATATAGATAGTATTGAAAACTTTAGACATGTCCTGTAGCACTATCCATAATTCTTTGTTATTCTCTGATGCGTCTTCAAATATATAGTTCAATATATTTATATTATTCTGAGTTGATTGATATGGCAAAGCTGCAGAATTACAAGGTGAGAGAATATTGTGTTGTGCTAGTTTTGTTGTAAGCTGTACTATAAGAATTTTAGTAAAAAGCTTTCGAGAGTGTTTTATAAGTGTTATGGGTCTAGTATATCTTAGATCATTGTTGTGGTATAATAGTTTTGGAACAGGCCATATGTTTGAGTTAAGCTAGTTTTTTGGTATGTGTTCAAGTTATAAGCAAGTATTCATGATTTCTAATAAAACAAAAAGTGCTACTTCAGGAAGTTGTCAGAGTATTTCATTTGATACTTGAGATAGTCCTGGAGCTTTGTTGTGTAGTGATATTTTGATTACATCTTGTAATTCCTCTATTGTAATTGCTGCTATAAGATTGTTGTAAACAGAGGGCAATATATTTTCTATTGGTTTATAGTATTCTTTTTATATGTGTCATAGGTCTTCATTAGGCAAATTGTATTTAGTCCAGTTTGCAAAGTATTTGCTAGCGTATTCCTTTATGTCTCTTGGTTCTGTAATTATTTTTTCTGGTATAATAATTTTTTGGAAGTCTACCTTTTGTTTATTTCATTTTATGATGCTATCTATTATTTTTGTTGAATTATTCTGAAAGTTGTCATATCTCTTGTTCACAAAGAATTTTATTCTTTCTATTTGCTCAAGATTCAGTTCCAAATTTCTTGCTTGCCATAGTTCTTCTCTTTTTTTATGCAAATTTGCTTTAAGCAGTGAGTTTGGTATTATGAGGTCGATATCATTTATAAGAGGAATATCTTGATCTGTTATTTTGTTTGCTCTTTCTATGTGTTTGTTTATCTTTTGTATAGTACTTTGAATTGATATTAGTGTACTCGCTAGTTGCTATGCACATTGAGCTTTTTTTACATGAGTTAGTGCTTAATGTAATAGAGTTGTCTTTAATGAGAGTGCATAAAATTGTTTGCCAGTACTATATGAGAATAGAATATGTTTGTTTGCTGCTTGTTTAACTATATTGATCCATTTGTTTCAGGCTTTATTTAGCATTGATATATTATTTATGGTCTTATTGCTAACTTTTTTCTTGCATCTTATTGTTGATTAGAGTTCTAAATTCTTCCCTTTGTTCTTTCGTTGCTTTATCATAGTTGTAGAATTTGTGTCTATACTTTTTCTAGCAATTTTGTCTTGTAGTAAAATTTGTATACCAAGTAGTCACTAATATACAATAATCACTATCTGTAATATTATATAGATCAATTAACTCTAGTATTTCTATGTCAAGAGTAAGTTCAGAAGTAGTTCAAATATCATTAATTTGACTTGATAGTTGACCTTATTGCCACGTAGAGGCTAAGATATTATAGAATTGTAGCAGACTATTTAGACTTAGTGTTTCTAAATACGTAAATAGGATTTTGCATTTGTTTTTTGAAAGGTGATTAGCATTGAAATTATCTATAATTATACATTGCCAGTTTCTTGTTTTTGTTTCTGTTATCTATGAGTTAATAACTCTTTGTGTATTGAGTACTAACTCTGGGTGGTTTGTTAAAATATAGATTGAAATAAATCTTATTTTGTTGTTTCTAGGAAACTAGAGGTCAATGAATATTGCTGTCTCAGAAAAATTTCTAGTGTTGTTTATATATGGACTAATTGATATGTATATTGCAAAAGTAGTTCTCAGAGAGGCTTTACACTGGGTATTGTTTTTCAGTATAAAATTAGATAAGAAGATTTTGTATAGTGAGTTAGTTAATGTTGTTGAACCTTCTGTTTTAAGTTTAGTTTCTGTCATTGAAACTATATAGAATTGTTTTTTTCACAATATATTAGCTAGTTGTGTAGTTTTAGTCTATTGTTTAATTCTTGTATATTGTGTATTGCGAAGTTGATTTTTTCAGGAGTATTTTTCTTAATCATTTTTGTTATTTTCTATGCTAATTTCTATTGATATATCAGTTTGGATATATTGTAAGTTATTGTTATCAAAGATCTCCCAACTAGGTTCTGAGAGGTCTGGTAGATCAAAAATGAATAAAGGAAATATTTGAAAAGTAAAGTATATATGTAAAAGTTCCATAACCTCGAATACTTCTTTATGTTTTGTAATTAGAAAGTTGAGGTATGCCAGTTCTTCTATTTGTTTAGCAGCTATTACAAATTGCTCTAGTGTATTAGGCATTCTTTGAGGACCTTCAGCTAGATCGTTGTTAGCATTTTTAATTTGAATCTAATTTTCTGAGATCTTTTTAAAGTAGTAGTGTTTTCTGAGATCTTTAACTGCAATACTGAGTTGCCTAGGTGTAGTGATAAGGATAGTTAAATTCATCCTATTAACCTGTGAATACTCTTCTAGCAAATCTAGTAGGTCAGTAGGGTTTACAGTTATTTAGCTAGTTGAAAATGATGCAGGTATCTGATATGTTAGAGAAATTTTATCAATGAATACTCGAGAAGTTGCTTTATCTTCTATTAGAAATATATATTTGTTTTCTAATAGTAATTTGTTTAAATCATTTGGTAGATGACATTTTTGTATAATATAATCATTTGGTAATCTTGCAAAAGTATAGCTTTCTTTTAGGAGGTGCACATGCTCTTTGAAGTCTTCGTTATTTTTTAGGAGAAATGGAAATATTTCTCTCAGACATGGTATTAGCTCTTGTGGAGTATAAGGAAGCTTTTGTTTTGGAGGTAGAAGGTCAAAATATGTATCTGGAATACAATATATGATATATATTTTTTGTAATTTCTCTTTATATTTTAAAAGAGATTTTAGTTTAGAATAGGAAGTTATTGGAAAGAAGTCTCTCAAAGATTCATCAAATAAGAATGGTGAGTCTGGAAGTGGTAGATGCTTATTATCAAAATAATCTTCTGGTATACAAGTAAAGATATAAGCTAATCTTAATACCTTTGTAATTGTGCCTACTTGTCTTTTATCCTTGCTAGGAAATGTAAAAGGAATAGCTTCATGAATTTCACTATTTATGAGATTTTGAGCAGATGGCAGTGGCAAAAGAAGGTATTCTTTCTCAGCTTTAATTATGCTTAATATATTTTTAAATTTTAGCTCTGTTTGAATTTTTGCAAAGTTAATGAAGTAGAGAATATATCGTGTTGCTTCATATACATCTGATCGAATTAAATCTAAGTTTAAGAGAGCATCTAAGGAGAGTTTTGTTCAAAGCTTCATAAAGATTTGGTCATGATTCTTTTTATTTGTAATACAAATACTATGCTATTTCTTATATGACTCTAAGGCATTATACATGAGTGATTCAAACTCTAGTTGGTGTGCTAGGCGAGCTGCAGCAGTTCGTGTAAAGGAGTGAAAGAAGACTATATTCTGGTATTCAAATTTCTTTTTAATTACATATGAGATATTAATATTTGTTGGTAGAATACTTAGCTTGTATTTAATCAGTTCTTTTAAAGAGTCTAATGTTGTGAGAGAACTAACAATTTTGTCTAGTGGCTATATTTGTAAATTGTATATATTAAGTTGTTTTTTTCTAATATCAGATAGGCTCTCCCTGAATTATTGTACCCATACATTTCCAATATCAGTTCTATCATGAGTTGTTGTTTGTCTTTGCAGACTATGAGAAGTGACTTAGCTATATGAAGGATGAGGATTTTTAATATCTTCAATTGTATTAACTGAACTGGTTTTTGACATATGATCATTCTGTTTATTAAGTGAAGATCTACTTTCTATTTTAGTTGGTTGAGTTACTTGATCCTTGCTAGATATGTCAATTAACTCTGCATTGGGCGTGGGAAAATTAATTCTAGTTTGTTTTCCTTTTTTAGTTGTTGTTTGATGCAACTGATCCCGATTTGTATTTATTATATTTTGGCTTGCAGGTGGTATAGTAGTATTAGAATTTTTAGGAAGGGAGGCATCACTACTTTGTTGCATTAAAGTATCATCTTTGACTTGTATTTCAGTTTGTATACTATTAGCACTATCTGATGAAGTAGAATTCTTTCTTTGTTTCTTACTAGTTTGTGTTTGTCATTGAGATATATTTGATGAGCTAGTAGTTTTGTAAGTAGGATAGACTAGCTTTTTGTTATTTTGTTTTGTTGCCGAACTAGTCAGCAACAAGTCTTTAGCAAGTTCTAGTAGAGCAGAGACATTGTTATATGTTCTCTTAATATTGCCTAGTTGTAGTTATAATAGAACTCATCTTTATATAGAATAATAGTTACTTATTTATTATCTACTTGTTGTATATTTGTTCAATATTTTGTTGTTTATTTATTTTTATATATAAACTCAGGAGTGCGAGAAAGAGTTTTTTTTGCTCAGTTTAATTAATAAAAAGTTGAAGAAATTTAGTTTTTGTAAAAAAAATTTTTTGGTTAAATTTGGTACAAGTGATGTATGGATTGAGTTTCCCTTTATAAGACAATTAAACTTGCTACTTGTAATCAAGATATAATATTAGAGCAGCAAGAACTAGATATTGACATATTAGTAGTAGATTTAACCTCTCAAAATTTAGATTCAGAAATTGAAAACCAACTAAATATATATTTAAATTTCAACAATTCATATATTTTAACTGAGGAAAAGCTTAATGATTCTGAAATTATCAAAGTTGTATTGATGAAGCAAATTAATTTGAACATAGAGATTCTAATGATTTGAATAAAAAAGAACCAAAAATTTTAATATCAGAAAGATTAATAGATTTAAATAAGTTTATAATTTTTTTGAACAACAAACTAATTCTGATTTTAAAGCCAAGGATATCAAAATTTTTTAGAAATATTTAACTTTAGTAAACTGAAAATATAATGAATCTAAACATCAAACTTCAAATAGTAATTTTTTTATACTACAAGATAGTCTACAAGATTATAATAATTCAATTATATTGTGATATATATATATATGTATAAATATTTTAATTATTCTTATTTGTATTTTATATAGTAATTCAAAAATAAAATTACTAAATATTTTATAATACTTATAGCTAAACTTGGGTAAATAAAAAATTTTAGTATAAACATTGTAAATAAGATTTTGAGTATTTTTTAAAAATTTATTTAGTTATCTTCATATTGTATTCATTAAATATATCTATAGTATTAGTCAATTAAAATATAACATACTTATAAACAATTCAAGAATAATCTGTTTTGATTTTTCTTTTATTTCATTTGTTCAAATTTAGAAGATAAAAAAACTTATTACTATGTATAATTAGAGCAAAATTTATATATCAATACTAGAGTTCTGTAGCCTAATATATGCTTATATTTAGCAAAAATTTTAGGTAGCAGATACAAAAAATTGGCTTAGCTTTAAAAGTATCTAGCACTATTTTGCCTATAGTGATAGATACTTTTTGCCATATATTTATATATCTATAGGTATTTTTATATATGAAATTTTGCTAATTGAGCTATTATTCTTATAGTATTTCTACTCAGATAACTTATAGTCTACCAGTAAGTAACTTGGATCAGAATGTTTAAATAGGTCATAGCTATAAAATTCAAAAAACTTTACTTTCTAGTATAGGCATCAAATGCTTAGTACAAAAGTGCTCAGTACTTTTCAGATATAGTTTTCTAATGCTTAATACAAAAGTATATAAAAGTATCTATGTTCATAATAGTGCAGTATTTTTGTGTTTATAAGTACAGATATGCTATAAGCACTAGTGCCTAATGTGTTTAGCAATAAATATTTGCAAAACCTTAATTGATATATATTAATATATATTAAATATAATATATAGTATACATAAGATATTAAATTTACTAAATTAAGATATAGTATTGCATATCAAACTATGTTAAAATATTTAGTTATAAATTTTAATAGTAAAATATATATGATTTATAAGTTTATACTATAAAAGTCTGAAATATTTATAAAGAATTCTTAAATATTATAATATAGTATGATAGCTATATTGTCTAGATATTATTTACAAGTTATAGAATTAAATTTGCTTTACTACATAATGTATGAGTTGGAATATTTAAAGAGTAAATTTAGATTACTGTACTATTAATATTATAAATATTATACTTAGACCTATATTTAAAATATTCTAACTCTCGTACTAGTAAAGCAAATTCAATTCTGTAAATTGTAAATAATATCTAAGCAATATAACTATAAAACTATATTGTGATATTTAAGAATTCTATATAAATATTTCAGGCTTCTATAGTATAAACTTATAAATCATAGCTATTTAATATTAAAATTCACAATTTAAAAAATATTTGATCTTTTAATTATATTAATAAAATAAATTTAAAAATTTTTCAATATAGTTTTAAAACTACATGATTCTAATATAATTTGCAACTTACAAAATTGAATTTGCTTTACTAGAGCAGAAGTTAGAATATTTTAAAGATATAGTACTAATGAATTATTATGATAATAAAAAATCTATAGTGCTGCACTATATATTATATCTATGATGTCTAGTCTCTAGTATATTTACAAAAAATTATATTCTCAGCTAATAAAATTTTAAGATCAGATATAATATATAGATGCAGACTTATGTTAGTGACATAGCAGATATGATGATATATCAAAAAGCTATAACTAATATTTGCTATAATATTGACATATACTATAATATTTGATATATAATATTCAACTTATGCTGTAATATTTTACTTGTTCTATATTAGTGTTTTATAACTTATAACTCAAAATAATAGTCAAAAAAGCTATTATTACAATAATATTTGCTATAATATTTGATATATATTATAATATTTGACTTATATTATAATAATTGACTTGTCTTATAATATTGATATATTGTAAAATTTAATATATTACAAGAATTAATATATATAATTAAATTATCCTGTTATAAAGTATGTATTACTATAGAGTAGATTTATTGCTATTAAAATAGTTTTTTATTCTCAATTTTCTTTATTAAATGAGTTTGATGCAATATTTTATTATATTATATATTCTGTATTTATTAATATAATATTAAACGTGAAGGATCAAGCTTATGATAGTTAGACTCAATATACAGAGCAGACTATGAAACCTTCTACAACTATGAAAACTAGATATACAGTGAGCACTTTTATAGAAGACTTACAATTATTCTCAATTACTACTACTTTAACTCCTATTGAGGATTCACCAAATACTTGCTATAATACATTCATATCATACTACAATTTACCTTATTACAAAAACTACAAACTCTGGGTTTCTTTATTCAATATCTCTATAATAACAACTTCTCTCAATCCTTTAAAATCTCTATCAATTTTACATACTCTGAAACACATGTTTATACTAACAAAAATAATCCACTTCTTCTGAATCATACTTAACTACTAATTAATAAACAATCTAATTATTATCATTTACCAATTAAATCTATTTCTAATAATATATTCTACTCCAACAATACTATTAACAATTCTTCTATTGAAATCGAATATACATTACTTCTAATTAAAATTGCCTCTATAAATATAAATAGTCTCCTTTAACCAAACAAAAAACTCTTAATAACTGAAGCTCTTGACAATAATATATATGATATTTTAGGTCTTTTTGAAATATATTTATCTATAAAAGAAGAGAAAATCTTTAATAACTAAATCAAAAACTAATAAAGCTTTTGGAGTTCCTTTACTCACTCTCATTAAGCAGGTGTAGGAATTTTTGTTCACCAAAAAATCTCTAAATATATTGCTCGTACATATAATTATAAAGGTTATGTAATTAGTTTTAACTTTTATTTCAAAAACTCACCAACAAGACTTTTACAATTTTATATCCCTAACAGGAAAAAAAACAACTTCACAAAGAAATATTATTTCTTTACTACAATAGCCAACCTATAAAATTATAATTATAGAAGATTTTAATAGTATTCCAAATGCATATCTAGACTGATTTCCTCCTAAAAAAATCTATACCAGAACTTCAACTTACAAAATTCTTAATAAGTTATCAATACAAAGATATCTACTGTTATTTCTTTCCAA